GTCTGTAATTTGCTCTTAAATAAATTTGCCTGAGTTATTTGTATTGTCCTTCCAACTTCTGAGTTCTAAAAGTTTATAGATATTTAATAAATCAAATGGCACAAACATTTTGGGACAAAAGATGCATTATGAGGTAAACACAAAATTCCCTTTACCTTAGGAGAGAGCATGAGGATTTACAGAAATTTAAAATTTATGGTAATTCACACATCCCTATTTTCTTTCCTCAGGTCTCAAGTATCCTTTGATAGTAAAATAGAGATGCACTATTATTTGTGAGGGCCTTGGGGAAGCTACAATGTTGGGTAATAGAAAGTATCATCTACCTATTTCCCAACTGGCTAGGGAAGGGAGCACCTGTCCAAATCAGCCAGCCCAGGAACTCAGTCAACCTTGATCTGCTACTACCTGGGAAGGTGAAAAGCTGAATGGTGCCCTAGGTGTAGTATGAAGTGTTTGGTAAATGCCCCGAGAACTGGTGACCTGCAGCTCGCTTTCCATTTGAGGAGCTGAATGTTGAAGTACATTGGTCCCTTGGTTCATAAATGTCTTTGTTCGCAAATTGTTTAGTTTGCAAACAGAAGCATTTGGAATATTTAGTTTCTGTTTGCAAACTCTGCACTGGATGACAAACACGACAATGGCCCTCTTCTCCCCAGAAACACAAACTAGTCATCTTTTCAAAATATAACAGAACAAATAAAACTCATGAACTGAGGTACCACTGTAAAAGGATCTAGGATGTTTGTGCTGTTGGAAACAGATTTTGTCCTTCAAAGTCAGAGCAAATACTCGTGAGAGTGACAAAGTGCATCTCCTAAGAACATCTGACGAGAAACAAGCAGAGCGGCTTCTATAGGTCTACAGTCTTCCACTTTGGAGCGGTGCTCTGCCCTGCTGCCTTTGACTCATCTGCAACTGTCTGAGGAAAGTCACATAGTGCAGAAATGTGATAGGTGTCACACAACTATACAGCTACTTGCAAATCTACAATTGTATGGGGAATGATGTTACGTGAGAAGCACCGCACACTCCGCTTGATTAAAATCAAAACCCCAAACCAAACAAAACCCAAGATCATTCATTTTTTTTTTCTTGTTATGCATCCTAACATTTTCAAAGCAGGAATAACAATGGAATTATCAACTCTTTGGACATCTGCCAAGTCTCATTCTGGCAAAAGCAGAGCTACTAAAGCCTGAGAGTAAATTCTGATCAGTAAAAAAGGAACCGGTTGGTAATGTGGAAATGAAGACGTGCGTGGGAGAGATGCTTGTTATTATGGTCCCTCACAGAACTATCAAAGCTCTTTTTTTTTTTTATCTTACTCTTGTTATTTCCCCTTGCAGTATTGTCACGTATATACAACATGATTTTGTCTCTCCGTAAAACTGTCTCTTGAGGACCAGGACAACATCATGTCAATCATTGTGTATTCCAGTATGCAGTGCAGTTATCTTTTAAATGCAAAAAAAATCAAACATATGCTGAGTTGGAATACCAGGAGCATAAGGAACTTGCATAATTTCAGGATTTGGAAATATTTAAGAAATTTTTTGATTATGTTTCCATGTTAGTGAACTGGAAAAATTCAGAAAATTATGAGAAGAAAATGGCTCAAATTTTCCCTGATATTCTTGCCCACAGGTAAGCATTTGGAAGTATCTTCCTTTTGTCTTATTTCATAATTGTAAAACTGTCTAGTTCTGTATTTAACATTTCCCTTCTTATACCCTAAGCATTTTTCATGTTTATAATGGCTTCATAAAATTCCTTACATGTCTTTATCATAATTATTATGATTTAAAAGATAAAACAACATGGATTTTTATTGGTTTCTAGTTTTAAGATTCTTGGTATGTCTGAGAAGTCAGAAAGGAAACTATTTCACCTGCAACAGAGGATCAGGTAGGGCAGGGAAGCAAGGGAAATCCCAGGTTGTTTCTTGGGTTCTATTACTCTGAATCACCTGTGGTACATCTGCAAGGTCAGCTGATGGTGTGGAATGTGGAGCCAGAGGATCTGAGGAGGAAAAGTTAAAGCAAGGGGGACCCCAACCCAAAAAAGAGCAGAGCCCAGGACTCACCTTTCTGTATTTTAAGAATGACTGGCTTATTTTGTGGCATCTCATTTGGCAGACCCAAAGCTGGCATGAAGAAGTTACAGTGACACAATGTTGACTTTGTAAACAAGTTTGAGCACTGTTCCAAAAGACAGAGGATGCTTTGTGAGGTGCATGTCACTGCAGGTTCAAGCAGGGCCAGTGGCCTTAGGGATATCAGGGGGTAGGAGATACTTGCAGTCTTCTTAATAGTCTGTGATTTGTCTGAGCAATGGAATGATCTAAATAAAATCTAAGCCTCTGAGAGTCACACATTTTAGATGAATAGTATTAGCATTTCTATTTAATCCAGTCACCTGTTTTCAATTCTGAGCAGCTGGGAGACCCGCCAGGGCTTTCTTGCTCCCCAGTCACGTGGCTGGAAAGAACTGTTGCTTTCTCCCTGGCTTTAGTTTTCTTGAACCTTAATATTCACTCCTGTCTGAGCAACAGTGCTCATATGAGGGTGCCGGCCAGCACTGGCAACGTGACGGTCTGTGCTTTGATGCTTACAGATGAAGGCTGAGGAGTAAAATCCTCCCTCCAGTGGCTCATGCTCAAACATTCTCTTGCCCCACAGAGATCCAGAAAGCGTATGTGGAAGACACTCTGGAGCCATTTCTCGGGACTGAAATTCCACTGCGCACAGTTGATCCCACATAAAAGCCAGGCACACAGGGCGCCTCCAGCTGTGCCAAGGATGCCCTGCCATCACTCACTTGAGTGCCATCGCAAGACCCAGTCTGTTCCCAGCCCTGGCCCTGTGTGCTTATCTCACGTTGCTGTCTGAGGGGAAGAAACCGTCCAGCTTTCCTTAAAAACCCGAGCTCCAAGTTCTCCTCCTTCCCCCACCACTTATGCCTTCTCAGGCTTTTTCTGAAAGGAGATTCCAGGTTTATGACAGACTGATGACCACTGTCTGTCACTAGTTCTCTTCCTGGTTGGCTTTCCAAGTGAGGGTATTATTAGACTTTAACATTTTCCCAGCTAAAATGGGAGGTGGAGTGTCATCATCACTTTCTCTTAGTGGATATGTCAGTTTTGGTGGAGTTCATGAGGTGGAATATAGGCTCTAGTGTCTACACCTAGAGCTGCTGCCCCATGGACAAATTGGACACCATCATGGTATCAACACCACCACGGCAAGGTGGCTCTGCAACGTTCTTCCATGTCACCCCAGCCATTCATGTGGTAGAAATCTTACACCACTGAGCAACTGCCAGGGTCCCACCTTCCCACTTTTCACCCTCAAGGGGATCTTGGCATCCACTGTCCTGTCAGAGACACACGCTCATAGAAAGGTGTGGCCTCTGTGCAAACATATCACCTCTTCTCTTTGTATATATGAACTATCACTTTCTCTGAACATCACTCTGGCTTGATCTTTTTTACCCAGAAGAAGTGCTACTAAGTGTTTATCAACTTGTGTGTACAACTGGCAATCTGTGTTCTGTATCAATGGACTGCACCAATCCCTGATGGAAAATATTTGGGAAAGAATCATTTGTACAGAATATGTATAAACTTTTTTCTTGTCATTTTACAAGGAATAGTTAACTACTATTTACTTAGGGTTTACACTGTATTGATGATCTAGAGATGAATCAGAGCATACAGGGGGTGTAGGCAGGTTACATGCAAACACAATGCCATTTTATATAAGGAACTTCAGTGCAGGAAGATTTTGTGCTCCTGTCTGTTACCAGGGTACAGGTGCTTAATGTAGCCAGACAGATGCACCTGAGATTTCTGACACTGAACTTTAAGATACCAGAACAAAGAAAGTTAACAAAACCCTAGGTGCCCCACAGCCTAAATAGTGATTTTTCCCTTCCCACTTGTGGTTGTTTTTCACATGAAAGAGCACTTACATGTGTGGCACACAAAACGAGGCCAAGCTTACATTCTTAGCTGCTCTGTCTCAAAATGGCCCTGTTTCTTGTGCCCTGACATCTGCTCCCTAAAGCACTGTTTAATATCAGGGGTACATGATTGCCCTTTTACAAAGGGCTTCAAGGGCCAGGCCTCTCTTTGCTCTAGCAAGTGAAATCCTCTAACCCTTGTCTAATTCTCCTTCCTAAACCACATTCAGTCACACCACCACACTGCGGGGAGGCACGCAGACGTGGAGGGGAGGGATCTTTTTGTCAGTCCTTTTACCACCATGACAGAGTCCTGGGATAGCAGGAAACAAATGCTGTATAACTATATTAGCATACATAATCTACTTTGGGTAGGAATTCAATGCTCTGTAATAAGTGGCTCCTATAAAGCATGAGAGTGGGAGAAAGAAGAGCTTCCTCCTCCACACAAACGCTGTGTGGGAGTGGGAGCCTCCCATAAACAACCAAACAAGGTCACCTTAAAAAAAGGCCTTGGTCACAAAGGCTCTGATAAGATCATTCTGATGTCCTTACTCATTTTCTTGCTCAGTGCAGGTGGGAGACTCTTTCATTCCATCCTCCAAAGCAATGAAACTCAGAAGGGTAGCGACAACCAAAGAAGGAAAGGGGTATGATTCTTTGGTCTTTAAGAGCAAAACAACAGGGCAAAGAGTATAGCTCAATGGTACAGCACTTGCTGAGCATTCAAGAAGCACAAAGTTTGACTCCTAGCACCAAAAAGTGAAAACAAAAACAGTTGAGTGTTTTTGGCTGGACTTTTGGCAAGATAGAAGATGTGGTGTGTTGATGATATCTCTGGCAACTAGACAGACTTAAATAACCATGAAGAAGAGCATGGAAAAGTTTTTCCAATTCTTTCCAAGAAAACGTTATTTCAAGAACATAGTGACTTTGACATAATTTTCAACCCACTTGCAAACCAATCTATTGAGTTAAAGATCAGAAATCAAATGAAAGTGATATATATATAACTACTTAAAAAACAACAGGAAAAGTAAAGTTTCAGAGTTTTTTATTCAAAGGTTCTCAAAAGAAATAAAACAGAAAAAGCTAACAATCTGATCAAATGTACAGTTCAAAAGTGTCTTTTGGCGTTTAACAACAAGTCCTAGGAAAGAAAACTACAGAGTTATCTTGAACCGGACAAATAAGTTACCACTGGCAAGTTTGTGGCACTAGTAAAACAAAAATAAAAAATTAACTCTCTTGATCATATAGATATCTCTATGAAAATCTTTTTTTCAATCTGTACAAAAGGTCTTTCTTCATAAATTAATTTTTTTATAATTTAATGGCTGTCTACTATGTGATGTTTAACTGATTTTCTTTTTCTTTTTTTTTTTTTTTATGTACAGAGGTTATGTTTCCCGAATCTTACCCAGACGAGTATGGCACTTAGTTCAGACATTTCTAGCAGCAGATTTCCCCTCCCCTCAACTGAGCTATCAAATTTCTGTCTTAACTAATGCAAAAATATCAAGTAGTGAGATACCCAGGTTTATAAACGTACTAGGTACACAGAGGGTGCTGCGTTCAGTCTGGACCTTCACAAAGCAGTAATATTTCAGGGAGCATAGAACCAATAATACCACAACTTTAAAAAAAGGAAACAAAAACAAAACAACACATTTCTCTTATGACTATGTAATTTTCACTAGATTCTACACTTCTCAGAGCAGCAAGGACTTTTGAAACTATGAAATGTCACTGACATCTATAATCAAATACAAGCAATAAAATTTAAGAACTAAAAAATACTCGAAAGAAAAAACTGCTTAGCCCTAGCTCCTGAGCTAGGAGGATTTTGGTCTGTGGAAACAGGGAGGGCCAGCAACCTGTCCCAGCACAAAAGAAAATAGACTCTGAGGTAGATAACTGATCATACACAGCTGACCAGACAAGTACACAGTTTTGGAAGACAACTTAATTTACCATTGCTTTTAAAACATATGCAATTACCTTAATAAAAGAGCTTTAACAGTGAATTATCTCATATGTACTAAAGTAGAAATAACTGTGTATTTATGAATCAGGAATTTCATAGTTTCAAAATTGATTTTCTTTACACTTGAACACTTGTAGTGATGATGTAAAGTGTGGCACTGCTTGGATTCAAATCTTCCTTCATGCTTTTTTGTTTGTTTGTGTGTCCATACATCAATTAAAATTATAAAACCTAAATGCAAAGGTACAAAAAAGGCACATTCTCCTAACCGCAAACTGGTCCGGCAAAAATAAAGAGCACAGAAGATGTGATGCTGAGACAAGTTGGAGCTACTGGTTACTGGCTCTTCGGTCTTTGGTGAAGTTACCTTTAAAAGTGCCAAGTCATTTTTATTTTTCAAATTTACCTAGTAGGGGGAGGGAGAGAGAAGGAGAGAGGAGAGGAGGGAGAGAGAGGGACAGAGGGACAGGGTGGGAGGAGAAAGCGCGAGAGCCAGCTAGTAGCCAATCATTTTATTTCTAGTCTTATCTCAGCTTAGGTTTGAAGAGAAATCCTTACTTTTAGCTTTTGCCATTTGGTTGCAATAGCAACATTTTTCTGTTTGCCAGGTCGCAGGCATGATTCTCATCCTAAAGCACTATCATTAGTATAAAGGAAGGACAAAACATTCGGTGACTCCCCTCCCCCACCCCCCACCCCCAGCCCCCACGCTACCTACACTAAATCTAGAACATCAAGTTAGGTTTTTTTTCCTGAAAAAAGGCAAAAAAGACTTTACATTGCATCATACAGCAGATATCCTAAATCAGTCAAACTATCAGAGGAAACTGTTGGCGCACAGTCTTACAAACAATTTACCCTATTAAAAGTTCCCCAGTCAGAAAATGTGTTTCACACAAAACATTTTTCCCTTCTTGCATTTCACTACCTTACACATTATGTGAAAAATCATTAAAAACACCTACTACATATTTAAAAAAGCCAAAATTTCAGCAACTTTTATTGACTACCTTTTAAAAGCCCTATGCTGCTGTTTTACAAGGCATAATAGACCAGCTCATTGGTCAAAGCATTCTACATCATTAGTTTGAACTAACTTTTACTGAAACAGCTACAGCATCAAAAGAGTTAAGGCAAATTGGAATTCATAGAAAAGGATAAGACACTTCACACTACAGTGAAAGAAAAACAGAAAGCTAAGAAAAGACATCGACGGCAACACTGAATTACAGCAACACTCGCACGGCAAGCACAGAACACCATGGGTGAAGTCGGATGATTTAAACGTCAAAAAGCCCATTTCGTACAGCTGGAAAAAAACACAAATTAAACACAAAATGAACATAACCACAAAAATCCGGTCATGCACTTGGATAAGTCTTCAATGGTCTTTGTGCATACCCAGAAAATTGAAGTCTTCTTTTTTCTTTTTCTTTTTTTTTCTTTTTTCTTTTTTTTTTTTTTTTTGCATCATAATATTTGATAAAAATCTTTTGTTTTTGTTTTTTTTTTTTTGCTTTTGTTTTTGTTTTTTACTAAAATAAACCTGTTCAGGGGAACAGCTACTAGATGAATTTAAGGGTTTTATGCACCTTATAGAACTTATAGCAAAAATAGTTTTAGTTGATTTCATTATAAATAACGTTTTCAAGAACCTGTGCAAAACTGTCAATAATTTCCTAAAGCACAATTGATCAGAAAAAATCCATGATTGTTCAGCTTTCACACCCTTCTTCATGTAAGAACACCCTTCTGTACATCTGGAAGAGAAAGATAAAAGGGACACGCTTTTGTAGATTCAGTATAACATACCACAGAGCCTTAGAATCTCCCTCTTGTTTAAAAGAGCTATGTGTTTGAAAAAGGCAGTGCTCATCACTGGAGGCAGACTGGGAGATACAAATTCTAGGCCTGATGGTCACTTCCAATGCTTTGACTCTGCCTTTCAAATCTGGGATGTGGGAAATACTTGCTTCTCTCAGGGAACAGGAGCTGAATTCACATGTGTCTCCAAAGATGAAAGGATACATTAGGGAAAACACATACGGTCTCTAGGGCAATTCTGAAATCAGGTTCCACATAGCAATTACACTGCAATATGCACAGTAAAGTGAAAAATTTTCAGATTTGTGGTTCAAGTGAGAACTGGGAGTATAATCTTTTGACCTAAGGGTACTACTGACATTACTCCATAGTCAAAGTATTGTTAATCTTATAGTTTGAGTACTGGAATAATATAAAACAGTACACTTGTATTACAGGAGAATTTTAGTACCTGGTGTTCTTTTATGTTATGGGTTTTATGTTTTGGAGGTAAGTAAATAATGGTTTGGCTTTTTTTTTGTTTTTTTCAGATAGGGTCTTGTTATGTAGTTCGGGCTGGCCTTGAGCTCACTGTGTAGCCTAGGCTGGTCTTGAACTTGCAACAATCCTGCCTCAGCTTTGCAATTGCTGGGATGATTACAGGTGAGCACCACTATGCCCAGCAAAGATATGACTTTGATGTAAAATATGTTTTTCTTTTTGGATGACTAGTGAATCTGCAAATTCACAAAATCATTGATTGTAGCATTTCAGTACAATTAGGTGACACGGTCATGATAAAAGCAACAATCAAATTTTAGTTACCCTAAGCATCAATTTGATAAAAGAACTACAGCTGTACATACAGGATTTGAGCCCACTGTTACGGAGGTCTTCCCTTCATACCTCACAGTTACTTATTGGGTTGGAAGGTATATGGAGAATGGTCATTAGACGTCTCTACAGCCACTTGCTGCTGACCACTTGCCTCCTACAACAAAGTAGAACAGATAAAACACATTAACAGTGAAATCTTAACTCTGATTTTTAGATTTGAATGAGTTCAAGAGCACAGACTTAATAATAAGCATTGTTTAAATTTCTTGATGTCATACCTGTCAGAGCTCCCAAGTTTAGTGATTTCCCCTCACTGGTTGTAATGTCAGATGGACTCAAAAAACCTCCCCCATCCAAATGTTTGAGTTGTTCAGTTTTTTTTTTTAATGAAGTCACAATATATCAAATGAATTTTTTTTTTGCGGTATGAGGGATCAAACTCACAACCTTGCACTTGCCAAGTAGGTGTTTATGCTGCTGAGCTAAATCTCCAGGTCCCTAAAATTTTTAACTAATTGAGGATTCAGTATCTTCAGGCTTTAGAATCTAAGATGTAGTATGCATGAGCTGTGTATAAGTACCACCAGTGGGGTCTAGGGCTGTACCTCAAATTCAAACATTCCAACAGTTCTAGACCGAAGGGTGTGAATAAACCCAGAAAGTGGGATAAAGATCCTTGTGTTCTTATACATAGCTCAAGTCGGGTATTGCCATAGGTCTTTTTTTTTTTTTTTTTTTTTTTTTTAACTAAAGTATTACAAAAAGAATTTTTATTTTCAATGTTTTTGAAAAAGTTTCAGAATTGCAGGTAAGAAATATGTGAGCTCTAGTAACTGTGGTAATCTATAAATGCAAAATCAAAAGCAAATAATTAGAACAAGTCAGTTCTCTGGCCTTTCTTGGAAATGCAACCTTTGGGATCTGCCTCATGGAATCTGAAGGGTACTTTGTAGGAAAATGCTATGCTTCCTGTGCAATAAAAATTCAGATGTCAAATTTTTCCATACCAATATCTTCCATTTTAAGAACTCAGAATTATTTAGTCACAGTAGTAGCCTCTATAAAACAGGTATGCTTTCCTTATCTGTGTTATAGTTTTGAAATATCAGCTTTTCATTAGGTATATGACTTCTGAGTGATTTTTAATCATGGTGATTCTTGATAGAATCTTTGGCATTATGATATCAAACTTTGATTTTATCTTAATGTTTCTCTAATATCATTTAGAGGCAACAAGTTAAAGTGTATAAGGGGTAGGAAGTGCAAGACAAGGTTGGAAAACACTTCTGAGTGTCCTGGAATGTGGCCTGGATGTTGTCATCCTACTGTGTGCAGAGGGAACTCTTATTTTATAGCTGAAAACATTCTACACATATATCCTTATTAATGTCAATTCTTTATGCAAATGCTTAATTTTTGATACATTTTCCTTTGAATTCTACTTTGTTCACTCATTTTAGAAGTTATCCACTGCCAGGATGGCCACTGGACGGTCTGTACCAACCTCAACGGGAACGGCCGTCGTCTGCATGTGCGCGTACTGCGGCAAGTAGGCGCCTTGCATAGCTGATGTAGCAGGCATGTACTGAAAGGGAGAAGGAGATCAGGATGGATTGGGGTAAAGCATGAAAAATCAGAGTACCTGGGGACTACTGAGGTGGACATAAAGTATTGGGAAATCTCAGAACAGAGGTTTAAATGGGGTAACCTCAAAAGTTTCATTAGTGCATATAAACACGTCACATGGCAGTAAAGTCTATGTTTTCTACTTTTTGAATTTGTCAAACAAAAAAAATTGTGTTCGTTGGATTTCCTAACAAAGAAGAACAACAGGTAAAAGCATTAAAGTTTTTCATTCTCAATAATTTAGTATCTCTAAAGTTATTTTTAGAAAATGTAATTTTCTAGCAGCTTCCCAAACTGGTAGATAAATTGTTTCTTCAGATGGAAACCAAAGTGTGGATGACCTACAGACCTTTAACAGGTCACTGGGGATGAGGCCTAAGGGGCACAGGTTTCCTGATGCCAACAGTCACCATCTCCAGAGACTAACGAATTCTTAGTCTTGGGGCTGAGTGGTGTGGCTGTGGCTTAGTCTTTGCTAAGAAAGTGTAAGAAAGGAAACCATACCATCTTTTGATCTTTTAAGCCACTGTAGACATAAGCTGAGCCAAATTCCGTGAGTTATCTCTTATAATTTAAACTCCATAGATACCCATCTGGAAGCTGATCTCATACCAGCTCAACCTCACTACTCTAATGAGTCCTCTGGACTCTGGTGAGGTGAGTCATGAGAATCATGATTAAGTGTTCCTAAATTCTACAAAAAAACTAGGAAACCATTTTTTCCTTTACCACCATTTATCACCTTCATCTTTTGCTCCATGAGACCAGAGCCTAGGACAATGGTTATAAAAGCAAGATGAGCCCATGAGTGGGTGCTGCATTTTGACAAAACAGAGAAACCCAGAGAATACTTGTAGTTCTTCAATTAATCAAGAAATCACTGAGTACTACTCTGTGGAAGGCAAGGTGGGGTGGGGATGAGAGAATTTCAGACCCATCTTTGTCTTCCAAGTGCCTGTGATCTGAGCAGGATGACACTGGCTGCATTAAGTTATTGTAGAGACACATGACACTAAGTTGCCACCTACTGTTCCAGTGCTGCCTAGTGAAAGATGACTCATCTGCTGGGCCAGAGGGCTGATCATGGACGCGGGCTGTAGTGACATGGTGTGCTCCATCGAGGGAGTTAGCACGGCACCCTGGGAGACCAGGAAAGAGCAGCGTGAGATAAACCCAGGGAGAGTTAAGAATGTAAAATTACCTTTTGCAAAGGAAGTCTCTTTGCCAAGGAATATGAAGCAAAAATAACCTCCCTCAAACTTGCAAATGGTATCATAAACAAAAACCCTAGATTTTTCCTAAAATCTAGATTGCTTTTCCTGAGAATTTCTACGAGGGTTAGGGGAAATGGTATATTGGCAAATTCTTCACAGAAATCCCTGTATGAAGCTTGTCCTTTCCCTTTACATAACTGAAAAGCAGGCTAGCCCAGCAGAAGGCGCTGTAACAGAAACACAAACTATATGGACAAATATACGAGTTATATATCACACAATACACATCCATCCATCCGTCCATCCATGCATCCATCCAGCCATCCATCAGCAGAGAGCTCTTCTGTGTTGTCACCTAAGCCTGTTCATTTGCTTGTCAAAGGTCATCTCAGTACTTCTTGTTCCAAACCTGTTATTCCTGGATTGCTGCTTCACACCTATCTTCTAATGTTACAGTGTCCACTTTAAGAGGTACTTTAAGAGACAAATTCCTGTCACATGTTAAGACCAATAGTTGAATTCTTTTCCTAAATAGCTGATTCGTTTTTATCTTAGAAATGCTGTGAACTGTCCTGTTGATCAGGATTCTCATTTTTCAGTGATTCCTAGAAAGCTTTGCTTCAAATCTGCTGCTTTCTTACGCCAAGTGTGCAGGCCACTGTGACCATTCTTAGTCTTAATTATGATTTTGCTCCCTCCCCTTATTTTTGTATTTTTTAAATCTTTGTTTTACTTCAATAAACTTGATTTTGTATATCTTTAAAAAAACACTTAATATTCCATATAATAATATGAAATAGAACTCATTTTGAAAAATGTAATATAGTTCATTCATTAGGGCAACAATTATGCAAATTACTGAAGAAATCGTATCATTTAGCAAACACATGATGAAAATTTCTTATTTTGAAGGATCTCCCATTGAGCTGGCATAAGTAAGAATACAGTACTCTCTCTCACAGAGAATACATTTTAAATTCTTACTGAAAATTTAACAATGTCTACTATTAATTTAATTTAAGGCAAATGTGCATGGGTGTTTTTTTGTATTCCATGCATCACTTTTGAGAAACAGTTTGAAGCACGGACAGCTTACTTGTAGAACACAAGGCCACTAAGATAAAAAACTTACAGGGTGCTGTAGGATATATGGTTGAGGTTGCATCCAGGAAGGACTTTGCACCTGGAAAAAGGAGGATTTTGAAAGAAACATTGATTTTCATTGTAATAATTACCTAGTTTTCTAGAATTCTTTTTAATTGTGTTAAAAATCTACAGAAGGAAAATAAAGAAACAATACTATCAATGATTACAAAGATTAAGGCAGTTAGAATTCTTGTCAAACTGGTCACTCTGAATGGGATGAAATGATTATTTTGGAACCAATTTCCATTTGCCCATATAAGCAGTATTTACTAAGTATCAGGCACTAAAAAGAAAAAGGTGAACAAATTTCACTCTCAAGAAACTTAAATAACTCAAATAAATTAGTGAAGAGGGTTAAATCAAGGTATGAACTGGGTGCTTTTAGAAAATAGATAAAAGATTAATTAAAGCTTATCTTATTAGAAACTAACCTTTATATGGTATGGGATTATTTAATAAGAAAACCATATTCAACCTATTTTGATACCCAGGGCGTTAGGTTTCAGAAATCTTACATGGTGATCAACCATTTCTAGTTAGTGTGGAAAATAAAATTGGAAATTCAGACACAGGAAATTAAACTGCAGTAACTAGATCTTGCCATCTACAATTAAAAGGGCATCTATACAGAGGACTCTCTGAACTGAGAAACGAAAGGTGAGATTTTGGCAGGAGAGCATGTGTAGTCAGCCACTTAAGAGAAGAGTCCATCAGTCCATTTCTTGATGCCCAGGGCTTTCCAGAGTCTATGTAATTTAAAAATAAGTTTCAGTTTCCAATTCTTAGCAATACAACCCTTCTGCAGCCTGTCCCCTCGTGTTAACTTTAGAGACGCCACAGACACAGTATGAGGAGAATCATGGGGGAAGAATGCATTGTGATTTACCTTGATAGCAGAGCCCCGATACTTGTTTTCTCTGGTTTCCTTTGCCACCTAAGGCAGACCAAAGTTAAGTGCTTCTGCCTCCTTAACGTTTCAGCTATCTGGACTGCAGCCTTGCCCCACTGGGATATTGGTGGTTTCTTGCAGATGCCAATTTCTCAAATCCAACTGCATGAGCATATGGTGGTTTAGTGGAGAAAGGTCCATTCCACAAAGAGTGTCGGGCCCTTCCATGATAAATTATGGAAAGGCAAGTAGTTCCTTATGGCTCCCCAATTTGGCCACATGCCCCATTTTATTTATGGTCCCAGTGGTCTTAATTGCTTATTAATGTTAATGGCGTTAGGCGGTTATGACATCTAATCCAATTTTCTTTCTTAAGCAGCAAATCAGCTGTCAATTTCTATTCCTCTATGTTTCCTAGTTATAAAATGGGAATAATAACTTATGATCAGTAAAGTCTCTACCATTTGTTCTTAACCTCTTTTAGGTCATAAATCTCTTTAGAAGACCCGATGAAAGATAAGACTTCCCTGATTCTCAACTAATTGCCCTTGTGCATGTACACACACCACACAACTTTACAAACAACTAGAGGATCACAAGTCACTTACTTACAGCTCATCCACTGATCCTAACTGGTTCCTGAATGTATGGGGTTAAGAATTTATCTGAGAGTATGGCATGGAGTGTCAGGCAAATGGACTAAAATTCCACATGTGCCTTAGAACAATATAGAAAGCCCAGTCGAGGAAACCAGGCCTTCAAAATGATATGACTAGTTGTTTCTAACTAGCCATATCAAACTGATTACCAATGCTGGCCTACTAATATTCTGTTCTATAAAGTGATTCTAAAATGCATATTCCTTTTTATATTAAGAAAGAAGTTTTAGAGAGATGCTTTAGTAGCTCTAATAGCTATGGCAATATAGATCGATATTAATATGCACATTTTTCATTTTCCTAAGAGGAAGCTTATAATTGTCCCTACTGTTAGTGATCTATGAATGACAGATATCAAAGTTCAGACAGTTAAAGATTTCCTTTTACTATCAGATATAGGCATTGTTTATTAGGGCAAATGCAGTGCAGCAGATCTCAATGAGTCTTACAGACACATGGAAAAGGAAGAAGGGTAAGTCTTGAACAATTAAAGCAGCATTAAACGAGTGAAGACTGTGCCCAGAAGATTAAATATCAGGAACAACATAACAAGCCAGAAAGAATAAAGAAATAGAAATGTGTGGCAATTCAGGGGAAGAACCTCCAGGTTTAGAAGAACCTGCAGTTCAGGGAGGTGGTAAACACTACTTTAAAACTGCAGTTTCAGTGCATCTAATCATTTGTTATTCAATGGTATTTTATTTTTTTATTTTTACTTTAGATAGAACCAGCTTATGTTGACTAGTCTATCATTTTAAAGGTACAATTAATATACCCTATCAGCCAGCTATTAAAGATGATAATAACCATAGCTTATATTTATAAAGTCCTAATGATATGGTGGGATCTATTCAGAGCTCTTTAGGTACTCAGTCTCATGTAGTCATTGTCTCTTAAACTTATGGATAGGAACTATTATTATCCCCATTTTAAAGATGAGGAAACCGAGGCTTACAGAAGTTAAATAGCACATATTTTAAATTAGATACTGTAGTCCCATAACTCTAGAAATTAGGACTACAACATCCAATTTGTTTTACAAACAAGAATACAGCAAAGTTTAGTGACACAGGATCCCAACAGTCAACAGAAGAGAACTGGTCTCCTGGAGGTAGGAACCAACTCCATCCTCATGTTCCAGGTGGAGCCAGGCAGGGACTCTGGTAGAGGGGAGATGCAGAGGAGGAGAGATGCATCTGCAAGGGCAGCAGGAGCTCACTTTGCAGTACAGTGAGTTCAGTGTTAGGACATGGTGTTTTGTGAGACTTTCTCAGCTGGGAATCTGTTTTAAGGCAAAGCCGCCTCACAAAATAATCAGAAACAGGGAGGTATTGCCTTATTCTTTTTTGGAAGGGCGGTTGATCTCCTCTTGATTGCTCATTTAATGATCCCTAGTAGAGAAATACCTTTGTGTACTTGCATGTTTACTGGTTCTTTATCAGTTCCTGTTAATGAACATGAAAAGTAAGGATAGACACCTACTCTGTATTTTATGTTTAACTGCAATTGTCTGAACTTTCAATTTTGGAGACACATGGTGTCCAAAAGCAGGGCCCATGGTGGAGGCAATACGTGGGTTCACCTCAATTCTGAGATGCTGTGATTCCAAGGACTAACAACAGACAACCATTTCCCTGGCTTTACATTTTTCTATGCATAAAAGCAAATTACTCTGCCAGATTAAAAAGTAGATTCTAAATTGGGTACACAAGCTGCATAAAATTTGACTTAAGTTTTCTTTAAATGTTCAGAGTTTTAAGACACATGAAAATGCAGCAGAAACTCACAGTGCATAAACTGTTACACTGTGGATGAATCCTAAGGGTACAAACCTGGTAGGCAGATACAGGAGATGCAATATAGGGTGTAAGAGAAGTTTGAGTGATCATTCGGTTTGTAGCAATACTGTATGGTGAAGGGTAAAATCTAGAACAAACACAAAAGCCTTTATTAAGTAATCCTTTAAATAGAATAATTCATGGAACAAATGTCTGATATTTTCCACCTTCATTTTCCCTCAGGTCATTATCCATTTATTTTAATGACATACCCGTTCTGTATAGCAGCCGTAGTTGGGTCATAAGTGAGTGTCATACCAGCCTACAGGAAAGAGAAGCAAACATAAATGTCCATCTAGAAAGGTGCGATTCAAAAATGTCACTTGGTAAGAGTTACTGCAGCAGAAGACAATGAGAGTACCATTTGATACAATGAGAGTTTCTGTTGGCCAAGGATAAGTTATAAACGCAGTAAGAGAATTAAGCTCTAAGACCCTCTCTGTTCCACATGGTCATCATTAGGCACATGCAGCTATTTAAAGTTAGAAAATTCAATACTCCAGGGAAACAGTTACTTTTTAATTGCTCAGGTGGCTACATGTAAGCTCGCAGGTACACTGGAGAGAACATTTCTAGATTCTAGATCATTTTCTCCAGACATAACTTGCATTTGAATATTATTTCTAATGAAGCAATTTATTGAAAATAGAGAAGCAGAGGACCAATATTTCATGACAAACTGAAGGTAAAAAAACATTCTAAAGAATGAGATTTAAAAATACATAAAAATCACTAAAACCTAAAAACACTCAATGATAGTTATACAAGGCTATATAGAATACTTTCTGAATATTACACATGTAAACTTTTTAAAAAGGTTATATTTAGACTGTGGCAATCAAATATAATGCAAACATCCATGCATCTTGATGGATACTTTTAGAATCCTACTCTTAGTCACTGCCTAGCTGGTGAACAGGGCTGTGTCCAGATCTGTCCATGGAGAATCATCATCACTCTTTAGTGCCATCCACATTGTGAAGGGTTCCCATCTGATACCACTTGAACTGTAATGTACCGATACGAGTTTTTAATCTCTGCATCTGTTTCAGAAGTGTGGAAGCCGAATCAGAACACTTTTTGTGTAACTCTTCATGGGACCTTTTGAGAGTACACCCACACTGAAGTTTCAAGAAAGGACTTACAAGTCTCACCTCTCCTTCTCTATGCCATGGTCTTCCATTAGGGATGTATTTGTTTGGATTCTGTCTTTTCTTCTGTCCTCCATCGGCAAACTTGCACAATAATGGTTCTGTGGGAGCTGAGTAAACAGGGAAAAATAATATAAAATTGCAATTATGTGTGCACAGAAGACAAAATGTAATGGAATTTTTTTAACAGAAGCAGTTGTTAGTGTTATAAGGAAACTGATAGGACACTTTACAATCAAAGTTTTCTCAGATCCTTATATAATTAGCCACTGGTAAAAAGAATAATATACTAGTTATTATTTCCAAACCAAAGTGTCATGACATTTAAAGAATCTTTTAAAGAGCCATTTTGCTGAGGAAGCAAAGGAATCTTTTGATTCACTTCAGTGCTTTATGTGCTTTTTCTTCTGGGTCCTCTACAATTCCACCCCAAGACAGTCACTAAAATAATGTGTAGAAAGCAAGTATCCTTCTATATGGCTTATACCACATTTTTATGCAGAGCATTTAGAACACTGCGTGTGGCTGCTGTTTGGTTTCTGACTTTCCTTGTCTGTCTCATCATCCACGCATCCCTAGTGCTTAGGTGACAGGCACTTTGACACTATACCCTGGCAAAATCAATATATGAACGTAACCAGATCTCATTTGTTTGTCTTGGGGACACAGCACTGGAGGTACTCATTGGTGAGAGAGCTGTAAATACGTTTTCATCCTATTTAAAGGTTTTTCTGTGTCTGGTGTTATTTTATTATCTACCCACTGCACAAAATGATCCAAAGAAACACTTCAGAAGTAAACACAAAAAGCAAAAGATGCAGACACTCATTAAAGGATATAGTTAAGGAAGATAAAAAGGTACACTCAGCACAATCAACACCTGTGGCTTTTCCTTTTCTACAGTGGAAATATTGGTGCATTCCTGGAAGTTGTACATTTTTTTGTATGTCTGCAGTTAACGTAATAAAGGCACTCACACCTTCCTGTCTGGTTTCCACATTCAGTCCTTTGTCTACTGCAGAACCATGATTACTACTTTCAAGTTCTGTTTCAAAGTTAAATAACCATGAAGAGAAAAATATTACTTGTGGAAAATTTACTCCTTTCTTCTTTGCCTCTTATTATCCTAATTCATCTCTTATTTTATATCACCATTACCCACCCACTAATGACAGGGTGGAAGCAATAGTGTCTCTCAACACTTCTCTGCCAAAAAGCAAAACAAAACAGAACATGGAACCTTAATTCCCTCTGGGTGAGCTGTCTAGGCTGCTGTATGGCACTCTTCTCTTCTGTGCACCACTCCTGAGGGATGTGTCTGAATGTGGGACATTTCTGAGTGGCAGCTGTATTACAGATATGCTGTGGTTTGCTCTCCAATGGTTCATATGTTGGGAATTTGGTCCTCAGTGTGGCCATGTTAAGCAATGTGGCCTAGTAGGTTGCACGCCTTTGAAAAAGTGAAGATGGCTCTCCTAAGAGCAACCCCAACCCTTAAAGTGCTCTCTGGCTTCCTCTTGCAACTTTTCTCTCAGGAGCTACTTGGCATATGGAGCTAGGTTTATGCCAAGGCCTGTGAATTTTCAGAAATGTGAGCTAAATAAACTTCTTTATAAAATTATCCAGACACAGGCATTTTGTTACAGTAATAAAATGAAGTACAAGGTACAGAATATTTATAGTAAAAATGTTAGATGTCTAGGAGAATATCAACAAGCTTTGTCCCTTCCACTACGGAGTATCCCTTTATGTATCTTCTGACTCCAACACCCTCTATCTGAGGCTTTCCTATATAAGGAACTTCCCTTTAAGGCAAATTGGGTATGATGTGAGACAGACTGAAGTCAAGTTCTGGAAGGTAAATGAATTACATAATTTGTCTTATTATGTTGATTCTTGAACATTTCCACCTTCACCAACAATCACAAAAGGTGTGACAAAGCAAATCACCGATATTTTTGATTCTACAATTGAATCATTAAGGGACAGAGGCAGAGTAAGGATGGAAGGAAATACAGAATAAAAGTAGGACAGGAAAAAGGATGAGTCCTTCTGAGAGGAAGGACTTATCACATGTGATAAGCAGTCAACCAAACAAATATAGTGCTTAAAATCCCAGTGGGGAAACTCCCATCAGTCTCTGGGTCAGGATCTAGGTGTGCAGGAGAGCATGCCGGGAGGGGTGCTGGGGGTGCCTCACTTTGATAATTAAGGGCAAATAGCAATCTCAGATGGACAGAGACGACATCTCACTTTAGCTGATCTAGAAATACTGAGAGTCTTCTCCAGTGACATTTGAGGTTATAAGCTCTTTTGTCTTCACTCAGTGCCATCAGCAGGAGAGAGTATAATAAATCCTGAAGAGCTGGCACTTTGTGGGACTTCACCACGAGGTAACTGCAAACTAGATTGCAAACTAAAATTTAAACTTTTTTTGATTTGAAGAGTCTGTTTGGCTCAGGAAGTGATGTAAAATTTTCATTCATTAAGAGTAATCTCTTCCAGAGGAAAATGGACTCATTCTGGAAGTTCACACTGGGCTGCCAAGGCAGGCAGGTGTGAATGAAAGCAGCTGGTACACAATGAAGTACAAGGCCAGGGTCCCTATCTGGGGATGTGCTTCCAATATGTGACATGCGACATGCTGCCCTGTCAGAGACAGAAAGACAGAGAGAGACAGAGAGAGACAGAGAGAGAAGTCCCAAGTGACAATGAAGCCTGTTAAGAATGTACAATGATAAGGTCCACATCAAGTGAATGATGCCATGTTTGTAAACACATCATTTAAACACACACACACAGACCCCAAACAGGATATAGTCGAATCTTTCAAAAACAAAAGACTTCAAAATTACTACATAATTTTATGCTGTCATCAAGATTTATTTCCCTTCTAAAAGCAAAAAAGGCAAGTAGTTAAAAGTAGGTATACTGTCAGGCATCCCTTATTTTAGGCATGCAAGATTTTTATTTAAAAGAACTGTAACTGGTGAAATGACATGCATTCAATGTCCTTAAATGGCTTGTTTCAAATGAAATAAAAGTAGCCAGGCCTGGTGGCACACACCTGTAATTCCAGCTACTCTGGAAACTGAGGCAGGAGGGTGAGAAGTTTGAAGCTAGCCTCATCAACTCAGCAAATGAAATGAAAAGTGCCCTAGTATACCACATGAAGCTATATAAAAATCTATAGGATTCCGTTTTTCTATGAAAATTCTCCTTTGGTTTATTTAAAAGTGGAAATTTTTGTTGAGTGTCTGCTATGTGCCAGGAACACGAGAGCTGGCGATACAGTGATGGATAAATTAGACTCTGTTCTTCCAGGGAGCTTGCACTTCAATTCAGACGAGAATGCTCCTGATGTTACACAAACTTACATACGTATTCACAGGACAGACTATGCAGTCATTTGACTTCAAATGTTTCTCTTTGACATTAACACTGACAATCACTTCTACGGTGCCTGCTTTAAGTAGGCACGATGTACACAACATGATCTCCCACAAATCACCTCGCTTACTTAACCAAGAAGCCCTAAGGACTTGGAACTCTCTATAGCTGAATTAGGATGGACCAGAAGGAGAATCTCAGCATGTCTAAAAATGAGGTCTTCCCAATGCTCTTCCTATCAAATTCTGATAGCACTAACAGCTGGAGACTGTTCCTTCTAAACTTCCATTTTTCTAGCTGTGCAGTGTTTCATCTTAATCAACATTCTAGGGAATATAAAGTGCCTTGACAGAAGCTTTTCTATCAATTTTGGAAACCTGGTCCACTCAGCAGCTGTAATTAGTTTTCTTTCTGTTAATGTTAGTTACTTTAAAAAAAAACGGTTCGACTAACAATACGTCAGGAACAACCTGGGCTTTGCTTTTTAAAAATGTCAACCAAAGAATCCAGTAAATGTAAGGTGTAATCAAATATACAGAGAATGTTCAAATAAAGAAATGACTACTGTAAAACACACGTCATGAACTTCCCTCAAAATACCCCTCACCACATGCTACTCTGAACACACGCATCCCTTCATTCTTGCTGCTTTTTGAAGAAGTTCTGAAGCTCTCTTTCATGTATTTATGAGGTGTGACCAAAGATACAGTGAATGCTGCTGCTGAATGCCGTTCAATGGAAAAGCAGTCTTGTGGAAATGTTACCATGTCTGTATGTGGCACCATGCAACTTCTGGATCCTTACCAAAGTCAAAATGACCACGACAAGGAAATATTTTGAATTGATTTGGGACAAGACAGCCACCGCGGCTCAACTAAAGATACACACAAAAGAAAGTTTCCAGAACCGCTTCAGAAAGTGGCAAGAACAGTGGTTAACGTGTGGTCAAAGCAATGGGGAGTAGTATTTTGAGGGAGATTAATGGCAAGTATCTTTTACTCTAAAAAACTGAAAAATTTAAACTTTCACTGCACTTGAGCATACCTCATATACATTTCTTTTAATGTGCACAACATAGTTTCCTGTTTTAGCTTCCTCTATTTCTAATGAAGTTCTGTGGCTCTACCAACCATTAGCACAGGTACAACCTTTCTACGTGAACATTATTCCCTCTAGGTCTGCTTTTGAGGATTTGTTCTCCTTTCTTTTCCTTCCCTTACACAGTGTTTCTAGCTTCTACTCAGTTTGAAGACACAGTAACACTTGAGATTTATTCATATGCTAGCTTTGTTTCTGCTGGGTTTGATTTTGCTTTTACTAGAATTCTTTTTTTTTTAAATCTCATTTTCAACCCCAAAAAGCGTTACATATCACTAAAAGAATGATTAAATAATATTAAATCAGGTTAAACAACAACAACAAAAACTCAGTACCCTCCCATCACTCGAACATAAATATCTTAATATTATATTTTAACTTTCTAAGTCTACACAGATATATTTATTTTTCACAGGTGGAATGACAGGTCTTTTTTTCTTTTTGGTACCGGTGATTGAAGTCATGACCTTACAATTGCCAGGGAAGCACCTGAGCAGCTGAGCTAAATTCCCAGCCTGATAGGTCCCACCATATACATAGTGGACATTTCCTTTCCTTGTTAGAGAATCACGTGTTTAGTGGTCACATTGCTTTTTACTTGAAAAAGGCTCACACACAGTGT